CATAGATATGCTCGATCTAAACTATTTTTGAAGCTTTAAATTTTATAATTAAAGGTGAAAATATATTGTAAGGCTATCACAAAGATTTCTAGTATTGAAAACACATTTCTTGATACTATTTGAAGGTGCATTTTACTTTGATTGTTTAGAGCCTCAGCTCTATACAAACCGCACCCAAATTGTTTTGATATAGAAAATGGTTCAATTGCCAAAAAAGAAATGTTGTTTTAGATTTTTGGGGCATCAAGGTCATTTGACATTTGCTCTGGTGATTGGTGACGCTTCATCTTACTGTGACAGTCTTTTGCATTGTCACTCAAGGGCCTCTTCGAAATGTTCGTGTACAATATTGAACCAAAATAGAAAACTACCCTTATGCAACTCTCTTTCTTGCTTCGCTCAGATTGGAGATTTCGGAATTCTAGTAAGATCAGGCTTCACTGTTTTTGAAGCCCTATTCTTCAACTTCTTATCAGCGTTGGTGGCATTGGCTGGGACTGCATTAGTGAGTACTTTGGCCCCACAGTATTTTAAGCCTACTCTCTTTCTCCTCATAAACAAAACTAAAAACTTCATATTGATTGTTACTTTTTTACACAGGCTCTGCTCTTAGGGCAAGATCCTGGGCATTCTTCATTGATAGAGGTGAATGAGAGGACGCGATCCTTTTGGTGCATCTTGGTTTGGCTATGGACAAGGATTTAATAATGGGAAAGCATATCATAATCTAATGATGTATGGTATATGGCACCTTAAAGCGGCATGCACTGTCCCATTTCTAATGATGGGCAGTGGAGATATAACTATAGCAGGGCTCACCCAGTGTTAGTAATCTCCACCAAGCATCTATATCATGGATGGTGGATGCCTTTTGGAGTTTGTGGGGTAGTTCAATGGAAAAGCGGTTCCCTACAAGTGGTGGAGTGGAACTCAAGATGTCATGTGGCACTCTGCCACCCTGATGTTACATTGTGGATGCCCTTTTGGAGTACCATTTAGCATATTGCATTGTATTATGGGAAACTTTTATGTCTCGTGTTATACAAAAATTATATGTTCCATCTCTCTCTCAGCTGTCTGATTTGAATGGACGGCTGGGATAGCTTTAGTCATATTGTAACAACTGGTCTTTGAGTGTCTGATTTTGATTGGACGGCTCAATATATTTTATTTTTATTTCTTTATAGATCATATTGGCATGAAATTTAAGGTGAACCCTCTTTTTATAGGGGCACTCTAAAAAAATAAAAAAATATATGATAAAATAAATAATCCAAATACCCTTGTAACTTGCAGGGGTATTTTGGTATTTTGATTTATCAAGAATATTTTCTTTTTATTTTTGTTGGGTGTTCCCTTATAGATATAGGACATGTCGTAAATTTCATGTCAAGATAATTTATAAAAAAAGTTTAAGATAAAATAATATTAGGCGTGTCACATGACTGAAGCTATCCCAGCTGTCCATTTAGATCGGATAGCTGGGAGAGGAGATGCATGTATAATTTTTCTATAGCAAAGGCCATAAAGCAAGGTTTCCTTAATATTATAGTCTGCTTTTCCTTTAGTAATTTGGTGTAGTATTGACTGAATATTAAAAAAAGAATAAATTTAGTGTGTTTTGCATTTCTTTTGCAGGGTTTCACAGCGGGTGGATTTATCTACATTGCAGTTGCTGGTGTGCTTCCTGAGATGAATAAGGGAAATTCAACAGTTATAGGTACAATTGTTCAGTTATCTTTCCTTATCATGGGGATGGCCGTTGCCCTCTGTATTTCTCTTTTGGAGTAGGTGAAAACTCACAGTAGTGCATGTTTTATTTATTTTATGGGAGGTTATTCATATAGATTCCTTAAATTGCTATCTGTATGAATATGGTATTCTGGAAGCAGAAAAGATTTATCATCTGAGTGGAGAGAGGTGGTGAGATGACCACAGCTGCAGATGTTAGTCTTGTATTCATGATTTATGCGTAGTCTCTCTCTCTCTCCCTCTGAACATTTCACAAGCTGACTGCATCACTCCATAGAGCAAAAGGTCGAAAAATTTAGAGGAAAAAATTATCTACTATCAGTTTCTTTATAAGAAAAATCTCATGCAGTTACCGATCAAACTTCACTTGGGGCATAAATAAAAAAGTGGCTGATCTCTACAGAGCCGTGTTAGAAAATTGAGCACGTATACCATGCTCCTGCAGCACATTGTACCCTTATTGCCGTGAGGTACTCTGCAGGATTCGATGTCGAGTATTTAACCTTTCCCTATATCGTTTGAGTTAATTTCATATTACCCATCAAAATATATGTGCCCATTGAGTTGAAATAGTTGGAGAAGGGTAAATTGTTAAATTGTTAAAAAGTTAGGTATATTCTGATAAATTTTTCTTTGTTCAATTTGAAATTTTAGGATCTACCTAAAAATCACTAGAGAATTATTTTTAAAAAACAAATTTAGATTTTGAGTTTTTTAGCACTTGGATCTCACAATCCAAAACTGGAGTTCAATCTTGGGATATTATTTCTCTTATATGAATATTTTATGTGATTTAATATTTTTGGGAAAATGGCCTGTAACCTCCTCCCTGAAATTTCCATTCCTATTAACCTCTTGGGTTAACCAAAATTCTTTGTATCCCATCAAGTTTTAAATTTTGGGACCATTAGCCCCTATAATTATATTTTTCTTTATTTTTTTTTACAAATTTGATCTCTTTGTTTTACAAAATGTCAAACCCATACATTAGTCATCCATATTAATAATTATTATAATTAATTAATAATTATAATAGTAACAATAATAATAACAATAATATCTTAATTGTTAAATATTTCATCTCTTATAGGTATTTTGATAAAGTTTGTAATAAATAAACGATAATAATCATTAACAATAGTAACAAATATTTTGGTTAATCATTTTTCAAGTTCAAACAATATTGATATAAGAGTAATGACACTATGAGATCTTCCCCCACCTATGTGAGTATGCCTCTAAAGGATCATTAAATTTTGAAATAGATATCTAGAAAAGTTATGACATGGGTGTGGAATTTGAGTGAATAGGTTTATTGATAGTTTTTCTAGAGATCTGTGTCAAAAATTAATGATGATTTTGTGGGGTTTTACTCACATGGGTGTTGGGGGGGGGGGAGGGGGGTTTAATAGTATCATTACTCTTGATATAATTGTAAAATAGGTCACAATGTTAAAGAAAATTTCATTTTTATTTTCATTTCTAAATTTATAGATTGGGATCCGTGAGGTAAGATTGGTTTTAGGCAATGAAAGAGAATGGGAAGGGAAAATTTTGTAAAATAAAAAGATCAAATTTGTAAAAAAAAAAAAAATCTAAAGAAATACACAATTAGGAGTTTAATTGTAGCAAAATTTTAAATTTGAAGGGGTACAAGGGATAATTTAAGGGGGTACAAGGGATTTTGGTGAACCCAATGAGCTAATAGGGATGGAAGTTTCAGGGAGGGGGGTAAAGGTCATTTTCTCATTATTTTTTTGGTTTATTTATTTTAAGTTAGTCACAACGTTGGAGAGGTTATAACTCCAAAAAAACTTTGGGGGTCTTAAAAATCCTATATTAGATTTTGTTGTTTTAAATGGATAAGCTTAGCACTGAATTGGTGCAAGTGGGAGTTTTAAAAAAGTGAAAAGATATTAAAGAACATGGATGAAAGTAGTGAGAAGAGATATAGTGATTTACAATATGATTGAGGGTATGACTTTTGATAGATTAGACATACAGAACAAGAGCGACTCCCAATGGTAAAATCGACGAGCTACTCTTGTGGGAGGACAAAATCTTTTGGATCAAAATTTGATAATGTAACATGGGCTAAAGTATAGCCAAGATGGCTTCGACATCATGCTAAACTTAGAGGCATGTGGCAGGTCTTCTAGGGCTAGGCACCTGGTCAATTACCTTTGCTACTCCTAATGCAGTAACACCAGGTAAAAATACTTCGTTACTTTTGCAAGTTTATATTTATAGTCAAAAGATTCCACCCTCCCATGGCACCATTTTCTCCATTCAATCCCTGGGGTAAACCTCATTAAGAAGTGTTTGTAGGTCCAAAAACAATAGGAATGTTTATTCGACCTTGATCCAACAGCAAAAAAGAAAAAGAAAAGGTTTGTTTATACTGTAGTTAAGTGTATGTTAAGTGTATGTTAGGCTTTGATTGAGGATGTATCCTCTCTCCCCAAAGAGAGAATGTACAGCATGCCTCCAGAGGACCATACCATTCATATCGAAACTTACAACTGAATTTAGAAATAGTTTTAGGATCCCAAATAATATCGGGATGGAATAAAGGAACAAACAATATCATATCGAAAGTGAATTACAAAAAAAGAAAAAAATATTGTATTATTATTTCAAAACATAGACCACATTATCATATTGAATGTTAATTATGGAAAAAATAGAAAGTGGAGGAAAGCTTCATCACGATTTCAAAACATATAGAACATTGAGAATGATCTCAGTTTGACATGATTAGGGTTGTAGAAGTTCTCTCTTACCTAGTGTGGTTTTCAAGGCTACACACAAGCTGGGATAATTGCATATAGGTGGTGATATCTTCTTCTTTCCTTCTTTTTTTTTTTTTTAAAAAAATAAGAAATTACTGTTTATATTTAAATCATTTGATTCCATCAAATAACACAAGGGTGCAATTGTGTATAGAGCAGAGGCTCTAAACAATCAAAATAAAGTGTACCTTCAAATAGGTCGAGAAATGTGGTTTCAAAATTTCAATGTTGGAAATCTTGGTAATAGCCTTAAAATATTTTTTCATCTCTAATTATAAAATTTAAAGCTTAAAAAATAATGTAGATAGAGTAGATCTATGAAAACTTGAAAATCTTGAAAATTGACAGTCAAAAAATATGTTATAAGATGCACTATTTCCAAAACTTGAAATCCAATTTTTTCTCATGTCTATGCATCTTGATGTTGAGATGATCAATTTGAGGATATTTGGACATCAAAACAACCTCTTCTAGTGAAGATTTTGAGGTGGGCTCTAATTTGATTGTTTAGAGCCCCGGCTTTTTATAAACTTCTTCCATAACGCAAAGCATAAAAGAGGTGTATTAAACAATCACTACAAGTAATTCAGAACAAGAGAGTTCTTGTTTGGGCCAAAAATCCGTGGCTTAATTACCTTCTCTATAAACATGATTAACGATTAGCTTCTCTATAAATATCATTAATGAAAACCTCAAGAGAAACAAACTTGGCCATAGGTAGCGATTAGCTTCTCTATAAACATGGTTAATGAAAACCTCAAGAGAAAAAAACTTGGCTGCAAATAATTGCATATAGGCAATGACCTTGTAATCGTGAAATATAGAAGCTCCCTCCGATTTTGTAATTGATGGCTATAGTGAAACAAGTACAGTACGCCGAATCTCAGTTGAACTCCAAATTACTCAGGCCTGCCCTTGCAATCCACTCGCGGTGGTAAGGCAAAAAAAAAAAAAGAACAATATGTACTTCCAGCTAATTCTTGTTTTCTACGGCATGCCATCCCTTGGTGTAAGTGGACGATTCTATTGTATATTATATAACCAATATATAATGAAAATATTTATCTTTAATACAAGGAGGTTACAATTATTTACAACCATCAGATGTGAAAGCTAGTAGGTTGGGTGTGTCACAAAGTTAAATAAATTTTTTTTTGAAGTTTAGGTTTGGTCAATAGAATAAATGCATTAATTCAATTTCACATCCAATGGTTAAGATTAATTATAACAACCTTGTACCAAAGATAAATTATCGATATATTTTTTATTTAACATACTGAAAAATAAGCTGTTCAAAACACCCCTATATACGGTATGCATGTATATTCTAGTATAATCGACATCAGGATTCTCTAGACAAACTAATGTACCCTAGGTTTACCAAAATTCTAAATGAAATATGAGAGAGCGAGAGAGAGCACACTGTAGAAGAAGTGAAACACAAAGGAGGCAAGGGCAAAAGCAAAAAGGAAAAGAATGAACACCCATAAAAACTGAGATACAATCTTCTTTTTTGGATACTTCATCATGCAAATGGCTTTTGGTCGTTTTACTTTCTTTGCGGTTTTGCAAAAGCATAGCTTTTTTTGGCAGCAAAAATTCTAATGGATTCTTGCCTAGGTTACAAATAAGAAGGCCCAATTAGACCACACTCAATTTCACTATTCAACGTTTCACCGTTTTTCTTTTTTTCTTGCCCTAGCTCATTACACTTGGGTCACATTTTAAGGATGGTCACAAATCAAGGAGGGTCAATGTTCAGTTTTGCTGCTCCATCAAACAAAATTTGTTCTTTGAACAGCCACGTGAAATATTGATATTTGGAATACCCATACTTTGGCCTTAATCAGTGATTTAAAAAACATATTGTTGACCTGAATCGAGCATCGTAAAAATCGGTTCGGATCGGTGAATCGACGTTTTTACTATAGCAAAACGCCGTTTTACTATAACAATTCGCCGGTTATCTTCTAGGCCCAACAATTTCCTATATATTGACAGAATCGACATGAGTCAATTTCCTATTTATCGACAAAATCGACACAGGTGACCGATTTTTGGATCGGACGGGGCAATTCCGTGCCGAACCGACATTTTTTAAATCACTGGTCTGAATACATTATGAAATATAGGAAAGGTTTCTATACTTCCCCTACAGCATAGAAGATCTATGCTTCCCCTACCATTCAACTGTCCAATTTTGATCAAGAGAGCCACTCACCACCGTTTGATCTCAAATCCGATGTCTCAAAGTATTTTATTTTTAGTTTTTTTTTATACAAATTGTATGAATATGAAATTTGGTACATGCCATCGCCTAATTGGGGCACACTTATAAAAAATATTAAAAATAATTTTTCGATAAAATATAATGACCAAAATACCTCATGTATGTTTCAAAAGTATTTTGATCATTTTATTTTATTGGAAATTTATTTTTTATATATATTTCGCTAGTGCGAATTTAATAGAAGAATGGATGTCCAAAATTTGGTGTCAAAATAATTTATAGAAAAAAATTAAAAATAAAATAGTGTAGAGACATGATATTGGGATTGGGGCAATCTTAGCGCTCCATTCAAAATGGACGGTTGAATAAAGGGAAGTATATAAATTTTATGCTGTAGAAGAAGCAAAAAAAGGCTTGCCCATGAGATATTGGCCTTCATAAATATTAATCTCAAAAGGCTTAAAACGTAAATACCACTACTTTTGGAGTCCATAAACAATACTACTTGTTGGGTTTCAGACACCAAACTCGCGGCCCGTCAACCATCGGTTGCTGGCATCAGTCACTTAGAGGTGCTGCAAGTATGTTGTTTGAAACCAAACAGGAAGTATAATGCAATTTTTCCCTCACTTTCACATTTGGGAACTAAAGTGAGAGGAAAAGAACCGGCAGAAGAGCTAAAAAGAATAGTCCATAATAGAGACAGTATTACAATTCATTCCAGTAGAAAGCATTCATAATGTACACGGAAGCCGCGGACTCGTGTTTGAACAACTGGTTCTTATAATTACAACCACCAAATGAGCCATCCCTCTCCCTCCCTCTCATGTTTACAACAATGAAATGAGACATGCTCTGCCTCAATCAACCCCCTCTCTCTCTCTCTCTAAGATTCAAACTCTTGGAGCATTTTAATGAGATTGGGCTCTGGTGCGCTAAAGGATGGGAGAATTACATGGTTGGCAGGGTGCGACTGGTGACGCTTCCTCGAGCTGTATGTGGGGGATTCCGCAGGTCCCACATTGTCCTCCTTCATCACTGGCAACTCTCCTCTCCTCCTTACGCTCGCTGCAAGCCTTTCCTTCCATATTCTCCCATCCTGAGCACAAAAAGAAAAACTAAACTCTCTCTGTCTTTCACACACACATACACAATACCCAAGGTTCAAATCCACCCACCCCAACTCCCCAAAACCACACAACCCCAACCCCCCCCAAAAAAAAAGAAAAAAGAAAAGAAAATGGAACTGTTGAATTAAGTTATTTTCTGAAAAAGTGAACAGAGAACATTTGGATGAGAAAAAGCAAATTGCAAAGTAACTGCTTTAAGCAAAGTGAGCCACACTGTAGCCATCTGTTGTCGACATTGGACGGCTGGGGTGATGTTAAAGCACTTTAGGAAACTTCAGTGCACACATTTTAATTGCAAAGTAACTGCTTTAAGCAAAGTGACGCCACACTGTAGCCATCTGTTGTCGACATTGGACGGCTGGGGTGATGTTAAAGCACTTTAGGAACTTCAGTGCACACATTTTATATGAAACTTCTAAAATTACCTGCAAAATTTCTTGATCACTTGTTGCAACTCAATTTTCAAATGTAGTGACCTTCCCCCCTAACCTTTTCTCTTTCCCACTTTCACCAATGCAGCGTGTACTATTTCTCCACACTTATCGTCCCCATCACCAACCCATAACATCATCCCTTACATAGAAACCTGAAGTCCTAGATATCCAACATCCCAAGTCCTGCACTTCTCAATCTCCTATTTCTGACTTAGTCCCAAGCATATTTTCATAGAGGGTTTGCAACAAAATAAGGACATTTCATGTAGCTCAAAACATACATTGGGTAATATTGCTTTGTAGTCCTCTTTAAACCTGTCATAGTTAGCTCTACACATTACTGAGTGTTTTTTTTACTGTGGGAGACCGACACCTTCCAAAAGAGGGGCATGGAAGGCCGTGCTTCCATATTTCGGCTCCCACGTCCTGCGTGATTCGCGGAACTTGGGCCTTCCACTCCCAAAACATTGCACCAATCGACCATGCCCTAAATGGAATATGATGTTTCTTCTTTTTTGTTTGGGTTGGTGAATTTGACCTGTCATGTGTTTTACATCTATTTATTAAGCAATGTGTTTTCAAACACGGCTCGGGCAAGGTACTCTAGCCCTTGCCGAGTAACTAGGTCAAGTCCGAGGCGATTCTCCAAGTCTAGCCTGAGCCCCTAGACAGCCCCAAAAGAGCAGAGAAAATTGCCGAAAAAATCCCTTAAACTCAGAAAAATAGTAGAATTAAAAAAAAGTATAAACCATGAAAACGATTGATGCCGCTGACTTGAAAAACAATAGGGAAAAATCAAAAAAATGGGAAAATAAGAAAATAAAAAATCAGAAAATAAAAATATTTCAAAACAAAAAAATAAAATACAAAATTAAGTACAAAACTTGGGTGGGTGAGCCCAAGTTTTGCAGTTTTTGGGTGAGTCTGTACAGAACTGTCCAGAGTATTGTACAGAGTACACTATGCTCCCTGTTCCTGCCATAGCAGGCGGCAGAGACTGGCGCACTCGCCTGAGTCTGAATCGACTCGGCAAGTTTTTGAATTGGGAATGTGCTTGTATGTGCTATACAAGTTGAAGCTGAAAAGCAATCAACAGACACTCTAACATAATAGAAAAACCTCAATTAGTTTAATTGCAACCACAAGAATGTGGACATTAGCTTATATTTCCAACTAAACGATCTTGTTATCTAACCAATTATCAAGTAACTGAAAAGTGACAACTAAATCAAAGGCTTCTATAGTATACACACTTGAGAGAGAGAGAGAGAGAGAGATTTACATTGAGAATAGATGGTTCGGGCATCGGGCATTTTACAGGCTGCTCATTGTCATGTGGCTCGAGAGGGTGGTCTATGGGCTTGAACTCCACATCCAACTCAACCCCGTGCCCACCTGCAGGAGAAGGCACCACCACCACTACCTCTCTATTAAGACCCACACCATCTTTCTCATCCTGTAACCACAGCAACACAACCGAAAAAGGAAACAAAAAAAACACACACACGCACACACACTTAGATTAAGAACCGAGCATCCTCTCTCTGTGTTGTTGTTCTCTCTTTATTCAATTTTTCTTAGGAAAAAGAACCCCACTGGCTGATATCCCATAGAAGAGCAGAGCCCATGGACTTCTAAGTTGCAGCATAAAAATAAAAAAAAGAGAGAGAAAACACCTATTGCACTGGCAAGAAGAAGGAAAGGAAGATCAGGGAATGTTAAGTAAGAAGACCATCTTTCTCATCCTAAACTAAGATGGAGACTGAAACTAATGAAGAAACACGAAGAAGAAGAAGAAATAGTTGACATTTGATCATAGATTAGGCACATTTATTCCAATGAAATAAGAAAAGTCCTACTGAGACAACAACAACATGCAAACCCTTCAAGACAAACCCAGGAAACACCCTGCATCTATATACATTTATTTATGAAATGCAAAGTTTCACAAAATGAGAAGTTCCTCACTGTGTGCCTTTCACATAATACATGGAATTGCAAACATTTAACAAATTCAAACTAATTTAATCATCACTAATTTACATGAATGCAGTTCTGAAAATGAAAAAAACCCCATCAATATGTGAGTAGTATTCAATAACTACCACAATCCTTATAGCATACTTGGAGTCTTCGACGCAAATTAAACACTTCCAAACCCAAAAAAAGGGAAAAATGTGAAAAGCAACATTTTCTCTAAAGATCCATATCAGTAATGAAGCAATATAAATAAAATTAATTAACAGGAAGACCCATCATCCACTTCAACATGAAAACCGCATAAAACTAGTCTGTAAATAGAGATCTTTCTCCTGTTACAACAAAATGAAATCCAAATTCGAAGGAGAAAGGAAAAAAAAAAAAAAAAAAAATCAAATCTTGACAAATTTCTTCTCATCATCCATTAGAGAGAGAAAGAGAGATCACTGATACATTCACAAGTAAGAAACGTTGGAAATTGAGGGACTATACATGAAACGCTAAAACCAAATTTCTCTCGTTTGATCAAAAGGAACCCAGAAATAAAAGAGAGAGGGAGAAAAATTTACCAATTCATCGACGCATGAGTAATTCAATGAAATCGTCATTTTGATGCTTAGAAACACACTCAAACAGAAGATTCAGCCTTTAAAGATCAGAGAAACAGTGGAAAAGTGTGTAATTTAAAGAACCCTAGTTTTCAGGTGTGTGTGAAAGAGAGAAAAGGTAAAGTAAGAGAGAGAAAGAGGAGGAGAAAAAGAAAAAGAGAGATTACCAGGGCGCTTTGTGTTCGACTATGGGCGGACCTTTGCCCTGAAAAACGCGAGAATATTCCCACCATTTTCTCTTTCTGTCCCTCTAATACTTTCAGCTGACAGGACCTAAAGAACCAGGCCCGCCATCTCTCTCTCTCTCTCTCTCTGTAACGGTTTTTGTTAAAACTGTACACACACTCTCTCTCTCACACTGCGGATTCTCTTTAGAGGTAGACCCCTCTCTCTAACTGGAGCTTCTATTCAACCGTACAACTCTCTCTCTCTCTCTCTCTCTCTCAGGCTGCGGTATCTGTCCAGCTTTGGAGATCCTCTCTTTCTCTCTCTAACTATGCTCTCTGTTTAACTGTAGGGTGTCTCTCCAGCTGCGGCCTCAACTGTAGCTACTTTCTTTCTCCCTCCTCAGCCGTGGTTCTGTTCAACTTTGGAGACTCTCTCTCTCTCTAGCTTTGGAAATCCTTTCTCTAACCACGTTTTTTGAACGGTAGGATATTTCTTTACCTGCGGTGGCAACGGTACGTATACTTTCTCTCTCTCCTAACATGTGGTTTCCGTTCAACTTTGGACTCTCTCTCTCCTCCCACCGCTGGTGGGAGGAGGGAAATGGAAAAAGATATATTTCAAATATAAAAGAAAAAAAAATTCAAAAGGTAAGGTGCCAAGACGCGTCAAGTGTGAGATGCGGAATAGGGGGGCAACGGGTTGGGTTAGTAAGACCCGGACCCGGACCCGGACCAGGAACCGGATCTGTATGGCATTTTGGTCTAAATTTTGGACCTAGACCTAACTTTTCAACTCCAAAATTTGGACCCAAGGTCCTGTGTACTTGTCAGGTCCCAAGTCTTGTTCAGTCCATTGCTACCCTTAGTTTATGTCAGACACTTGGGTTATGACTATGAGTTTTTTTTTTTTTTGCGATCGTATACTTGTTAAAAATATTTACTGTATTGCACAACATTTATGAATGGGTGTTGTTTCAATAAGATTTCAACCTTAAACAATCTAATTAAGGTGCACCTCTAAATTTTATAATTTTGGTGTAAACTATTCTTAGGATTATCTCAAAATCTATTTTCATATCTAATTATAAAATTTTAAACTCTAAAAATAGTTAAAATCAAGTAGATCTATAAATTTATGAAAAGCTTGAAAATGGACGGTCTAGATAATGTCTTGCAAGGTGCACTATTTTTGGGACTCAAAATCTTTATCTTTTTCAATATTCATATATCAAGATGTCTAGATGATCAATTAAAGGGTTTTTCAATACTAAAACAATCTTTTTCGATAGATTTTTGAGGTGCATCTTTAGTTCTATATTTTAAAGTTGTAACTTTATATAAACTATTTCCTTTATGAATACCCCCCACATATACTCTCACTCTGCACACTATTTTCATAATAATTGGAAATTCTTAAGAAACAAACTTATTGACAACATCTATGAACACCTACATACACCTATAGTATTCGAGTCGTGTCCATTTGGAGCCGGACCTAACTTTTCACGCCCAAAATTCATACTCATTCCTAGACTCAAGGTCGAGTCCAGCCGTCGGGTCCATTGCCACCCCAGTACTGCTGAGTGTGAATTGTGAACTAGTGCCTGTGAACATTTGTGTAAATGACAAAAATGGCCATATTTCAACTTATCAATGATCAAATTATCCGCACGAAATATTAAAAACACGGATAGGTGACTAAACTGATCCGGGTCGGCGGCCCACTTTTTTATGTTTCACCGGTGAAACTCAAAAGCTCAAGCCTCAGCCTCTAGTTTTCCTCCATAGTTCAAATTCAAACAAATGATTTGCCTATTTCACCCAAAATTCTATTGTAGATCTATCAGAGAGTAAGGATTTGACAAAATTTTAAATCCATTCGGTTAGAAAAACGAGCCAAGTGAATTTTGAGAGATTTATTTTATCGTGATAAAGAGCAGCTAAAAGATTTCTTACTCTTGCAAGAGTGTACTATTCATTTAGTCCCTCGAGTATAACACAAGCTAGAAATACCTTCTGCATCTCAAATTTTGGGGATCTAATCTCTATAACCCATAATCTAATCTCAATAATAAAAAAAATAAAAAAAATCTAAAATAAACTCTCTGTGTAATAGAAAAAAGATAATGCCTCAAGAATAAATAGAGACCATCAAATTTTTGAAGAGCTAGATCTAGGTGTCACACCTAAACTATATATTTCATATTGTAAGTAATTACATCAAAAGTAAATGGTCTCATTGTATACATTTACATGCTCAATTTTGAGGGCACTTAAACCACCCCTTTGTACTCCCCATAACTTGAGGTTAAAAAAAAGGAAGAGAAAGTATATCACCATTATTCTATTTAATAAAAAAAGATCGCAATCTCTATTAACCATTAATATAAAGACAAGCCATTGTAGGTATGTTATTCTCGAAATTTGTTATACATCTTTAACCATAGACTTCATGTGTACCATTAGAGATAATTGCAACCTTCTTATATCAGTAGGATCCCTAGAAAGTGTTTTCTGTTATCAGTACGTAAAAGTACATTTACCCAAAAAAAAAAAAAACCTACAAAAGTCCTCCTTGTATGAAAAAATCAGATTGGTTTAGAACTTCTCAGTAGTTGAGGGGTAGGTTTAGCGAAAATAATTTTTATCTCCTTAATTAAACCTTGATGATGATTTATTCCCTTGATTTGTTGTGTGGGGTGTAGTTATCATGAACTCTACAAAAGTGATCGAAGCACCCACAAATGCAAGTTATCATTATTCTAAATTTCCTGTCACCAGATCGACATATGGCAATACTCAAAGGGTGTGGTTTCTATATGGTTGCAACCTTAAACAATCCAATTAAAGGGCATCTCCAAATTTTATCATAACATGTAATTTTGATGTAAAATATTATTGAGATTATCTTTAAATCTATTTTTATATCTAGTTATAAAATTTAAACTCCAAAAATGCTTTAAATCAAGTAGATCTATAAATATATGAAAATCTTGAAAATGGGCGGTCTAGATAATGTGTTACAAGATGTACTATTTTTTGGACTCGAAATCATTTTTTTTTTTTTTCTTATATTCATACATATCGTTGTCGAGATGATCGATTAGAGGGTTTCTCAACATTAAAACAACCTTTTTCCGATGGATTTTTGAGGTGCATTTGTAATTTTATATTTAAGGTTGTAACCTTATTTAAATTTTTTCCATACTTAAATGAAGGATGCAAGTTTAAATGCATAGTTTGGTTTCTCATTAGTGTCATCCACGACAAGACCTGTCTCAATGCTCAGTATAAAAAATTTATTCAAAAAACACATAAGAGATCAACTATTGGACCGGGATTCCGCGAGTCAACCGACTCGTGTACACATTCATCTTCCTATTAAAATTCATTTTAAAGATGGATTTTTATTTATATTTTTAGGGATTCATGACCTAGACCAAGATGATCATAAATATGAAATAAAATAAAATTTTAACATCTAAAATATATATTTTTCGGGGATTTGTTTTACAGCGTCTATGTATTATTAGTCGGGTGCACAATCCACATCGTCTCTCTCTCAAAGGGAAGGCAGAGGCACCAAACATTGCTTGTTTCATTTATTTGAACTTTTAAAGTAACAAATTCATCTAAATAAATTAAGGGATTGTATACAATGATACTATTTATTTTTGGTAAGGGAGGTCACAATTATTCACAACTATCGAATGTGAAATCTGATAGCTAGGATATGTCATAAAGTTCGCAAAAAATTCTTTTGAACTTTGAGTTTGGTCAATGAAATAAATGCAACCACCCAATTTCACATCTAATGGTCGAGATTAATTGTGACCACCTTATACCAAAAATAAATGCCTCATCACATACTTTCCCGATAATTCAGAAAAGTTATCAGCATTCCAATTCTCTTACGGTAAGAAGTTGAGAACTATACAAAATTTATTGAAGGGTAAAGTTCATACAAGGTACCCACCTTGCACATCTAAAATTTTGCCAAGTGTAGTTTCAGTGTTGGAAACATTACGGCAGCTTGATAAGATGTTCAACCCTAATTATGAAATCTACCGGCTCGTGCCGCAAGTGAGCTTTCTCATCATGGTCACTGAATTTTTCATGGACCTCCCCATGGTTCACCACGGACGTACACTAAAAATCCCATGGCCACCATTGATCAAATTGGATATCTCTCACTCTCTCTCTCTCTCTCGGTTTCCACTGCAAAAACTCCACTGATCTCTTCAACATGAATTAGTAGGATCTATTTCAACTGAGCATATCTCCACCCATGGGAGAGAGATACCAACGACGCCCCATGCAGGGGCATTTGCTTCACTCCTTCAATATTTGATCCACACATGAATGGGAGAGACTCCATTGACCCACCCTGAGAAAGAGAAAGAGGCTCTTTCAATATTTGACCAACGCATGAGAGAAGTAGGGGCGGCAATGGAACCGACTAGAACCATGACCCAATGGGATAGACTTGGGACCTAACGGGTATGGGTATGGGTTCAATTTTTGGATCCGAATACATTTGGGTTTGGGTCCGGGACCAACCAAACCGACCCATAGCCAACCCTAGAGAGATTTATGTGGGAGAAAGCTCTTTTTACCCAAGTTGCAGATTGAGGTCATTT